GCCCCCCCCGAGTCTCCTCAAAATCAAAACCTCCCTACCAAAAGCAACCATCATTATCACTATAACTTCCCATCCAACCAGCCACCCACACCCACACACACACTCACAAAAAGCAATTAATTCATATTCTCTACACTACTGTACCACGGCAAAACGACTGGGTATCCCACCAACCAAAAAAAATCCAACCAACCCATCAATCAGCCAATTAATCATTCATTCTCAAAGCACCCTCTCCTCCTGCCCCCACCTCAGAAACTCAAAGGAAAATTGTACAAAGGTACCAAAAAAAGGGCCATCTGTGTGTTATGTATTAATTTCATCTCATCTCAGCTCCCTATTCCTCACTCCACGCAATTCATCATTTCATCCCTTCTAAAAACCCAATGAACAAGCCATCTATCTGTATTCCGCATCTGCATCTGCAATATCCAGGGAGAAAGAAAAGACAAGAAGAAAAGAGAAATCGTACTCCATCAAAACAAGTCATCTCCCTAAAGTTTCCCACCCGGCATCTCATCTGGGATTTTGCCCTCCACGACAGATAACGCCCCGAGGTCAGCCGAATCAGTATCCCCTCCATTCAACAGGGCAATGGAACTAATGACATCGACCGGCTCAAGCAGATGCCACTTGGCAAGTGTCATCTTTGAGCTGGCACCAACGGTGACGGTAAATACGTGTCCATCAGGCAGCGAACTACCATTCAACGCGCGGAACATATCTTCATCGGTGAAATCATCTCCAAGACAGAGAGTGAATTCCGGTGGTTGACCAACCTCTTCGCCGTAATCTGCGACGAGTCGCTTTGCAATCTCGCCTTTGTTGATGAATGTAGGTCGAACCTCGAGGTTTGCTTTACCGGTCATTACTTCCACATCCCATGCTTTACCGACGGTTTTCTCAAGTTCTTTTTGGCATTCCCGGGCATTGTGGGCTCCCAACTCAGGATCTGCTGGTCGATAATGCCATGTTAAAGCACAGCGCTTACGTTCAATGAAGGAGCCTAATCATGTTAGTTATACGATAACAAAACAAATCAAGACATGCTTACCAGGAGTCTTCTCGGTGTATTTCTGAAAGCACTCCATAACCTCCTTTTGCCAGCCCATATCGAGCGTTTCTGCGAGATTTTCCCATTCCTCACTGCCAGGATGGCGCATAAAGCTACCATGCTCAGCACTGAATCCTAGTTCAGAAATGTGGCCAAGATATTGAGTTAGGAACTCTTGATCTCGACCACTGATGATCCAAACGGCATTTCGGCTGTCTGACGCCAATGCTCTGAGTGTTCGAATGACTCTCTCAGAAGGGATCGCGGCTGCTGGATCTCTGACAATTGGAGTGAGGGTTCCATCGTAATCGAACATAAAGAGTCGCTTCTTTGCTGCTCTATATTGCGTAACCAACGCTGCCTTATCCAGCAGTGGTGTTGAAACGGTCGAATTATGAGCTCCAAGGACTGTCAAGAGACGTTTAATATAACTCGAAGACCACGCCTGAACATTTCTTGTGGTTACATGATTGTAAAGACTGCTGTGCATTACACTCTTCATATCTTTACTCATCGTCAAGGATTTGGCGATTTCTTCAGCAACACCCGTAAGATCCCATGGATTAATGTGTAATGCGTCCTTTAAACTTCCAGCGGTACCAGAGAACTCGGACAGTATGAGAGGTCCGTGATCATCGCGCTGGCATACCACGTACTCAAGACTAGTTGTGTTCATGCCATCGCGGACACTTGTAATGAGACCAACATCCGCTGCTCGAAGAAGGGCAAGATACTCCTCTTGAGAGAGGTATTGGGGGTAATGTTGAACCGGCGTGAAACTGAGAGAGCCATATGTACCGTTGATGTTCGCTACTAACTCTGCAACTTTGTTGGCAATCTTGTTGCTAGAGTCTTCCTTTTCTTCTTCGACACTGGTTGGGCTGGTGACTTGGATCAAAACGACCTTCTGGTTCCATTCTGGATATCGTTCCAGAAACGTTTCAAACGCCATAAGCTTCTGAGCAACACCACGAACAGTATCCAGACGATCACGTCCTACAATCAACTTCTTTCCCTGGTACATCTTTTTGAGTGCGGCCACCTTCTCATCAATTGCTGGGTCATTAAAAGCCAACCGTTCGACGGCGGCAGCATCAATTCCAATTGGAAAAACACCCACACTAACTTTCCCGCCATATGCATCCACGCCAGCAATATCCGAAGGGAACCCAAGAATTCTTGTGCAACATGATACGAAATGCCGAGAATAGCTGTAGGATTGAAACCCGACTAGATTTGCGCCCAGCACACCCTCCAACACATCCTTTCTTCTCGGCAAACATCGAAGAAACTCGCTACTAGGGAATGGAACATGCAGGAAGAAGGAAATGTAGATGTTAGGAATGCGCTGTCGGAGCATGCTAGGGAGTAAGAGGAGGTGGTAATCGTGAATCATAACAACATCGCCGGGTTTGTAGATTTCGAGGATACGATTGGCAAACTTTTGGTTCATCCGATAGTAATCAGCCCAAGCTTGCCGCTCTCCTCGACCATCATTGGGTTCATGCTGCTTGTAGTGGAAGAGGGTATACAATTCGGATTCTGCATATCGTCTCCAACGAGCTTGATCGGTCAGTTGTATATTTCCTTCTGCATCATGATCTGCATCATCAGATAGCCAAACTGGAACCGTTTTGCTTCCTTTCTCGTGTGCCAATTGCCATTCTAACCGAGCTCTATCATCTTTGCTGACTTTTAAAATCTCGGGGTGTGCCGGCTCAGCGGGTTTGGCGAACGCATCGACCGGAATCGGAGCAGAACTTTTGTTCAGAGGAGGAATTCGAGAGGCCGCAGTCGTGGCAGGTGGTGTATCGGGAGGAGTCAGATCATCTGCAGGTTGAATTTCCCCAGTCCAACCAACGAGTGTATGATTCCATGGTATCTTATCGGAGGAGAGATGGGTGAAGGAGTCGAACAAGGCAGAGGTTCCCCGGCGGGAGCTAAGGCTCTGAAATTTGCAAGTTAGTCTGGAAGTGTTGAAAAATGAGCATTGAAGCAATATTTACCCAGTCTGCTCCTTTTCTGTATCGTAAGGAGTGTGGGATACAGAAGGTTGCAGAAATCAAACCGCCGCTCAGGCCCAAGGATGGGTGGGCGGCTCTCGGGTCTATATCAGACAATGACTCTCTTCTCTGCTTCGAGCCGCCGCCTATGCTCATCCGGCGCAAAATCTCCTGGTTAGATTTCGCACCAGAGGCAGCTTCGGTAGGTGATTGTGCCATTCTCAATCCGTAAATATTGTGAGTGAAGTATGAATCTGCTGCTACACCGCTGGTTCCTGAAGTTGAAGAATACTCTCCAGCTCCAATACCCGGGGTAACTGGCACGTTCGTCACTGAGGGGTGTAGGCCCGGGTGGATCGAGCCCTGACTAGTTGGGAGAATGGGCCGCGGAGAGTCCGTTAGGCCTTGGTCTGAGAATTTGGCCGCCATCGTGATGTGGATGGGGAACCCAGGCGGCGTATTTGCGGGAGCTTGAGCTTGAACTTGAGCTGGAAGCTTGATGTGGCAGCAGCAGGCAGAACAAAGGTACCTCCGTCGAGGCGGACTGGAAGCTTGTGTTTAGATGGATCCAACGAAGGAGGAGTAGGGCATAGATGGATGGACGGATGGATGGATGGACGGATGAGAGGAAGAGACAGTGAAGAGGTTCTGATCTTGGGTAGAAATAGTTGAGGGTGAGGTGAGGAGATTACAGTAGGGAAAGGGGAAAAGGGGGAAAAAGAAAAGAAGGTGATTTATGAATTATTGATCAAGGCGGTTCAGGTGCAACATGGTCATGGAATTTGCATCTGCCCGGGCAGCTATCGCAATCACTATCGTTGGTGACTGTGACTGCAGAAAAAGTGACAACATCGCCGGGTGAGAGCTGGTCTGGCTCCTGGCTTCACAGGATTTTTTTTCAATTCCCACCTTGATACGTCATCGGGATGATGGACGGGTTTATTTGTTGATCACTCATACTGTACTCTCGTCTCGTCCAGTCAGTCATACATGTTCTTTTGTTTTGGGTCTTATCTGAACATTCGGCGGCTCTTTGCGACTCGGTTTGGTTGGAAGATGTTTCCGATACTTTTTTATACTGTAGGTACTCCGTACTTGGTACTACGTAGGTTTTGCTCCGAAGGACAAGGGCCTTCTTTGTGGTACGCAACAGAGTTCACGGGATCCTTTTTTTAGAGTTTTGGCGAGGAAAAAGGGGTTCTTGTCATGGGTTTCCCGGAAGATCATGACGATGGAACCTTTCGTCTACACACTAATGTCTCTGGGGAGAAAGATATTGGAGTTCTGGAAGTTTGAGAGAATTGGGGAATACTCTGCGGTTGTATACTGCATCGCATCACAGCCCAACATTCGAACTTGGAGTAAGTAGTTGTGGTATGCGATTGTTGTATGCGATCCCAACTTCGATGGGCTTCTACCAAAGCTACAGCTACAGCTATCCGGTCCGTTCCTGTACAGTACAAACCTTAGGTAAGGCTCAACTCATCAATCATACATGAAGCCGCAGTCAGTCTCAATGTACAAGAGGCTCTTCTAGCTTTCAGAGCAATTGTTCTGCAGGTAAGTAAACACACATTGGGTAGATCAACGGCCGCTTCGACATGTAGAAGTATACACCAGCTGCATCGCCGATCAGAGGCAGAGGCTGAGGAGCTTGTTTTTATAAGAACATTGCACCTTTCCCTCGAATCGTGCAGGCGGAGACTGCCCAGGTGGAAGTGTTTCGTGCATGAGGGGACTCAGTACGAGTACAGGTTTGGCGGTAAAAAGTAGACACAGGAGTTGGAGCTTGGAAGGGGTTGACGTCATACCTTTTGCCAGCGCTGCTTTAGAAATGCGGGGTTTGCATGGAGTGCAGAACATACAAGAGCTTCAAGCTGTAGGAATTGACAATATATAATAATGTGAAACGATGGAGGTTGAGTTCCAGCAGAGAATAATATAGAGAGCTTTTCTATAGGAGAGACGAAAGGAGCAGTTGTGAAGGGATGGCGCAGATTATCATTGCCTAGCTAGGGAAGAGGCAAGAAGGCAGAAGGCCAGACGCCAAAAGACGCCGATATCAAGGACATCTAGGTCTTCAAGCAGCGGCCCCTTTCAGCCCAAAAAAAGACGGTGGTTGCCTGTATACCTCTCCATTTCTTGCAGATGCGACCGGAGTATCGCCTGGTAATAATCGCTGATTCTGTGGTATGGTAGCATAGGTGTGAGTACTTAACATCCGCCTGCCCAACCCCACGAGGCAAAAGAGCTGGACCTGAGCCATAGGAATCAATACCACCATCGCGCATACCCATACCCATACCCATACCATACCGACACTAAGGTACACCTGCCCTACTTCACCGCCAACAATTGGGAGAAAACGTCTCCCACTAAGCAACAGGAAGGAGGTCACGCAAACACGCTGCAATCGACAATTCACTCCGATTCGACTCGGTAACGGGAACTTTACACGGCCACCAGTCCAGCTATTCATGCCAGCAGAGCAGAGGCATACCTAGTCCTAGTGCATTCATACTCCCCCATTCCAAGTCACCCAGACACCTGCAAACTCCTTGCTCTGCTTCCGACCTCTTCTTCGACACTACCTCTTCTTCGACACTACCTCTTCGCAATCCGAGAGAAAGAGAGAGAAAGAAGGAACATATTTCTGGCGTTGGATTTTGCCTTCGGGTGCCACTTGGACTTGCTGCATATCGACATCCGACAAGTCAATTCTGGCTCGCCGCTCTGATTCGTCCAAGCCCCCCCCCC